AGTCAAGGACACTATAATGCATTTATAAGTAGTTATATCATTTATGTCTTCATTTAGCGTCCCTATATCTGACGCATGGTGACAAGAAGACACTAACAGGCTATACAATAATCATTACACATGGTCTACTCGTAAATTTTGACGTATTTCTCATGCACCGAACGGCATCAGAAACCTTCCTATAGTTTCTTTTAACGGTTTCAAAATAAGATAGAATAAAATGCTGATTATATAACTGGCAGAAAAACGATAAAAATTCATTACGTATTACTACTCTACTATCAAGCTCGGTTGTAAACGATAATTTCTGAAAATTAGCGAATACCGTTTAGTTACCATGAGATTTACAACCTCAATTGACTCTTTGTATGCGTTGAACGTGGTCAATCTCCCTCGCCAGCTGACACAAGGCGCAAAGAGGGCAGAATTCAACCGTCAAGTAGTCATTGCACAGTGATCCCTAACGAATGAATGTATATAGAAATCATATACGAATTAATAAACCTCTTTGAGCAGTTAGGTAACGCTGAACAAGGATTTTGAGAATCCGCAATAGCCCGGGGGATAGTATCCCCCAACTTGGGTAGGGGTGTGCCGCCAGGACCTCAAAACCCTGACCCTATCCCAGACCTAAAATTTTGATTTTATATACCCTACCCCAGACTAAAACTAAGAATTGTACACCCTATTCTAGACTAATAGAGGGAAAAGACGGCTATTCAATAGATTGCAATCAATACTTATTGACGTTTTTATCGTTTTTGTGCCGTCAGAAAGCGTAGCCTATTCGCCAGACAAAAACGACCAAATCGTTAACCCTATCCCAGACAAAAGTGATACCCTATCCCAGACAAAATGTCTAAAAATTATACCCTACCCAGACCCAAAAGCCGAAAAAATATACCCTATAGGGCGGCACATGCCCGTATAGCAAATATAGGAGAGTATCCCCCCCCTGGGGCAATAGAGGTTTTACACAGATCACTCTTACATTCATACCTTGATGTTTTGTTCAGTTCTGAATTTTATCCTGAGGCTAAGAAGAGGAAAGGGGCAACAACAGACGAAGCATCTGCCCTCTCCTAGACGTTGAGAAAGGTCACACAACAAATGTTGTTTACAGAAAATCGCATACCAACCTTAAACGAAGAAAAAACTCGTGATAAATAATTGATTTCAAAACAGGTCAACTGTCAGAGCTAACCATAAGCACTGTAACGCCCTCCCCTTAACCCTACTTAACCCATGTCCTCTGTGCCCTGTACCCTGTGTCCTATACATTATGACTTGTACACCCCTTCCCTGTCCCTTGTACCCAACTGTGACCCTGTTTCTGTACCCACTGTTACCCTTTCCCTTGTACCCACTGTGACCCTGTCCCCTGTACCCACTGTGACCCTGTCTCTTGTACCCACTGTGACCCTGTCCCCTGTACCCACTGTGACCCTGTC